CTCAACTCTTAGCAAGATTTCCCAAACTGTCAAACTATTCCTTTAAACTGTGTTTTTTTTTTCTTTTGAAATTATTTTCAATTTCAAATTATTTTTCTAACCATGGATATCCCATATTAAATGTATTAGTAAAGTTGTGAACGGCTTACATTATATTAAACAGCACACAGCATACATTTTCACTTCTCTTGTTTATCAGTTTCCTGGTAATGAAAGGAGTATTACTGCAACAATTTTGTTATCTTCTTTATCTTTTCACATGTAAATGATTATAAAAACAAGCATCTGGTGTTTTTAGTGAGTGTTGTGATATAAAAATGTATGGCAATTAAGTTAGATCTTAAATTGAAACCATGAAATAAAATATTACACGTTATTTTTTGTAAGAGATGAATGCAGCTTTCCAACTAGAGAGTAGACAGAAATAACATCCCATAATGACTCTGTACTGGCCTTACGAGATGGCAGAACTTCCAAGAAAGGAAGAACTTGCAATAATAAAACTATTTTATGAATTATTGATGACTGAATGTTCATTGCAGGAAGTTAGTGGTCAAATGTAGAAGGGCAACAGACCAGCAGGACTGAGATTAATCAGACAACATAGATACATGTAATACATGTAGTGTATACACACACACACACACACGCACACTGCTGGTCAGCCAGGAGCCATGCATCACAGGATACTGTACTTGTCATTGTTTGCTTCCTGTTGCTCTCAGTCTCTCTCTTGCACACACACACACACACACACACACTCCTGAACGCCCACTGGAGTTTGATTGAACAATGTAATTAGCTGTAATTAGCACTCATTAAAATTGTTAAATGTCCTGTCGTGTCAGGCTGCAGGTGTGTGTCTGACGAAGTTACACACACACACACACACACACACACACACACACACACACACACACACACACACACACACACACAAGCTCAGCAAGACAAGGACTGTAGCAGCTGTGGCCTCTGCACCTTTGTTGTTAATAAATGTTGACAGCGTTTCCATTTCTGTACCATGTCAGTCAGTCATGACTTCTGTGAGAACAGGTCTATAAATGGTCCATATGACAATTATGGAATATATGAATCTATTAAAACATTTCAATTAATCATGATTTTTTTAGCTGCATATATTTGTAGTAATATGGCACAATATGTAAAGAGTGAATGTTCTCAGAGCCTGAAAGTACACAACTCCTGCGTTCTACTTGCACAGCCTCTACTTTCCTCAACTATGAAAGTACAGAGCTTCTATTTTCTACTATTCACACAACCTTTCCTACCAGATGCAAATACAATGCAATATTATTGCCGAGCCCTAGTGCAGTGCACATACATTTCAGCAGGACTGTCTAAACCACCCCAGTCTGAGACTGAGCAAAGAGTCTACACTGTATAAAAATAAAAATAATCCTGAGAATGAGTCAAGTCTTCTGAGACTAAGCACACAGTACTTCGACAATACAGTCTTTAACTTAGCATCATAACCTTAACCAAGCAAAACATACAGTACAATAAAATAAAATTAAAAAAACTAGACTCGCTCAACATTCAAGAACAACATATTTTATATTTAAATAAGTAGCATTAATGCATCCTATTCTGTGATCCTTCATGATTAAAATGACATTTTTAGACAATTTATGGCCTTAAAAAAAGTATGTGTGTGGCATCCGTGTGCGCTCGTGTGTGTGTGTGAGATCAAGAGTGGAGTGGAGGGAGGGGTTTCTTGAGTAGCACTTCAGGGTAGACAACATCGTTTTGCACTTTGGAGGGGTCCATGGTGCACATATCAGCATGTGCACACACACATACTGTACATGGACAAACAGGTGCTCCCTCCCTCCCTCCCTCCCTCCCTCTCTCCCTCTCTCCCCTCTCTCCCCTCCCTCCCTCCCTCTCTCTCCCCCCCTCCCCCCCCCCCCTCCCCTCCCTCCCTTTCTCTCTCCCTCCCCTCCCCTCCCCCTCTCTCTCTCTCCCCTCCCTCTCTCCCCTCCCCCCCTCCCCCTCCCCTCTCCCCCTCCCCCCTCCCTCCCTCCCCCCCCCCCCCCCTCCTCTCTCTCTTTCCCTCTGAGTGGGAAACCTGCCTCAGCAATCACCGTGGCGATTGATGCTCAAGTGGATGACAGCGAATATTGGGAGCGCACACAAAAAAGACACAAACACGCTCAGGTCCAACGCCCAGGTTGCCAGGTTGTTGACAATGTTCAGTGAAGAGATGCAAGTTTGGCTGTTATGTTCCCCCCACAGCCCCCTTTTTAGATCTCAAGGCTGATCTAGGTTTCAAATTGGATTAAAAAGACACAGTTGAAAGGAAGCCAAGAGGGCTTCAACCACGAGGGAGAGAAAATAAGTGAAGCCAAGGAGGCCGAAGGAGCAGCATCATGGATAAAAGTAGATGATGATGTATCCTAATTGAGGCTCCTAATGAATGATTTGGCAGCTGATCTTGATCAAAGTATTTTATGATATTTTAATAATTTAGTTATTATTAGTACACTATTAATTTTGTTATGTGTGTGCCCTGTATCACAGCTTTCTTCTAATGCAGTGTAAAATATCTGTGTGTAGAGAGTATCAGTATGGAACTGTTGTGGCAGGAAGATTTGGGCCAGCAGCAGCACTTCAGAGATGCGGTGCACCTGCAAAATGTCACTGAAATAGAGGCAAAGCGATATCTAAGCAATAAAACAGCTCCCTGTCAGAGCGGATATCTTTTCTGAAACTGCTGGCTGTTGGTTTGTGCTGCTCAGTGGATCACTTATTCAAACACTCAATGTGTTTTATAGAAGTGCACAGGGGCATTGTTGACAGCTGAAGCAGCTTGAGCACAAATGGTTTAAAATAAATGACTTAGATTCTGATCAATTAAAAATGCTCCAAATAGCACAGATATTTATCAGCTTAGGCATCTAATTTTAATGCCAAAACAATTTTTTAAATGCTGATATCCCTACATTAGCATTTAAAATAACCCCCTTAGTATTGCTTCAAAATATAACATTTAAAACCCTGAATGTCACACTCTGTTTGCACAAGAGAATGATTTTGATTCATGTGTTGATGTTAGTGTGCTGACAAATTATCTAATGCATCTGTCATTAATCTGAACTCCAGCACATCAGCAATGACAAATTAAAGATGAAAAGCCTTATTCATGGTTATCTGCTTTATGTAAATGTTTTACTCCCTGTAGATGGAGAATGGATGGATAACACACTTAGAGCCTGAAGCATTTTTCCCCAGATGGGAAACTGTTTCATACTGGTATTAAAAATTTCAGGTCACTCTGACAGCATTTATCCTAATGTGTGATGCATGTTATATTCAATTCAGTCTACTTTAGACAAATAAAAGGCTAAAAACTTGACTACAAACGAAAATTAATCTCTAAAGGTTTTAAATACAAATACTGCTGGCTGGCTTAAGCTATTATGTACAGCTGCTTCTTATTTATCATCATTTCCATTCACTTGTAACTTCAGATAACTTTGTGAACAGATGTACTGACAACTTGTACAACAACAACAGCGGCTTGTAAAAGCATAATTAGGGTCAAACACCAAAAAACAAATTACATACACGCGCAACAGATGGAGGTATTGAAATCTATATGTGCTGCTGCAGAGGACAGGCTGCCTAATGAGCCTTATGAACGCGATCAATGTAACAAGCTTCTTTGTGTGTGTATGAAGACCCACGAGTGTGTGGGAGTGCTTGCATGTGTATGTTTATTAAAAAACTGTAGGTGTGCACTGTTCCCCGACTTAGCTTCCCCACAAACAGAAGTCAGGAATACACCCTTGATACTGCTCAAGTCGCTCCAATAACCAGACAGCGGGTGTTCTTCAATACAGAGTTGGATCTACATATGTCACAGCTCTAAAGCGCTATACCTGACACCTCATACACATTTTTATCCACTGAACTGTAACTGTAGGATTTCCGTGTTTTGCTTATGGATATACCGCCTTTCACACTGTGTGTTAACAAGTTACCCTGTTATTCATTTACTGTTCAGAGAGCCAGGGGGATTTACAGCAGTCTCACAGATGGTGAGAGGCAGACTGTCATTTACCAAACTTCTTGGAGAAGGAAGGCAAGCTTCAAATAACAGCGCACATCTTTTTGTCTATAATTCTCCTGGAGTGTCATTATAATTTTTATAAATAAAAAAATATATATGTGAATATAATGCATAACAACTACATGTATAATGACTACTGAACACCTACGGCAGCCACCACAGCTATGCTTCTTCTGAATTTGAACATTATTTAGGGAGTATTCTGACATGTAGTCTTGTTGAGAGTTAGATGAGGAGATCAATACACTCTCATGTCTGTATACTAAATATGAAGCTACAGCCAGCTGGTGACTAGCTTAGCTTAGCAAAAAACCTGTAGAGCTAACTGACATGTTTTATCTCCCTTGTTTATCTGTACAAAAAAAAAGGAAATGTAATAACGACGAGTTGTGGTTTTAGCAGGGGTGTTAGTTATGTGCAGGAACTATTTTCTGGCTGGATGCAGTGACTTCCTTGAGTTTCCGATAGTTGCCTGGCAACCTCATGGTGACAACAAGACTTCAGGAAGTCACTGCTCCTGGCTAAGAAATATTGTCAGTATGCAATCAAATTGAAATGTTTATATTTATGTTTTTGTATGGATTAAACAAATATAGCAGATGTAACGTGCTATTTAGTTAACTTTAAAGTAGTTAAAGTCAGGCACAAGTGGTAGAAAGCCTTCATAAATACAGAGAACAATCTTTGTGTAATAACTGCAGGTGTAAAAAATACATACAGAGTACATACACACGCACATACAGATACAGTAACTCCCTGTCAGCCCACTGTGTACTAAATAGGGAAAAGCATCCCTGACAGTTCTGACAATCATTTAATTTAATTTGCTGTAACCATCAATCAGCATTGGTCAGATAATTACTGAAATCTTGGCACACTCCCACCTATGGGCACACCTACTCACCCAAGAGCTTTTTCCGAGCGACTGCCCAACGATCCAACCACCTCGCCCAGAGTAAAGTAGGCCTGGCCCAGAAAATCCTGCAGAGGTAGAGAAAGAGAGAGATTTATTTAAAAAAAACACATCCAACTGAAACACACAAAACACAAAACAAAAAACAAAACTTGACATAAAATTACTCACAGCCATAGAGAAACAAAAATGACCCTCGTCCCTGATCTTTACAGAGCCCACCCTGCAGGGCCAAACCCTTTCAAATACCTCCATGTCCCCTTTGACAGATAATATAACAAGTAGATTGAGCCTTCCTCCCACCAGCCCTCACACCTGCCCCACTCTGCTCCCTTGCCACTTTCCTTTTAAATTAAATCGCCATCGCATAATGAAACTTTACAGCTGATACTGACAGAAAGGTAGAGAGATGGAGCGTACATACACGAAAGAAATCTATGTGCATCAGCATAAAACGCAATTAGCTTACTCAGTGTAAAACGTAAAAAAACAAGGATGCAAAACAACTACTGTAACACACAAACTATGTCAGAACCATCTTCTCTGATTGAATGAAAGCTATTAGAGAAACATGCTATCTCGATCCCTCTTTCCCCGGGGGGCATACTGGTGAGACTTTTTGTCATTATTGGACACTGTCTCTAATATCTGACTGGATCAGCTCCAAGCAGCACTTACATAATGGCTTCTCTTTGCTCCATTGATTAGACTCTTCTGTTATTCTCTATCCATCTGCCCAGCTTCATGTCGGTCTGTCTAGCTCATTTATCTCGACATGCAGACGGTCACGTGACTTTAATTTGTCATTTGTATTGGCCACAATAAGTGTTGAAATAATATTTGTTTTATTTTATGATATTTTCCACTGTCTATGATGTAGGGGCTGAGCAGTAAAGTCACAAATCACCTAGCAACTGCGGCTATTGCCAGCATGAGGTCCATTGGAGAATTGGCTGTGTGCAGCTAATGACTAAATATATAACAGCATGGGATGAAAAAAATATAAATAATATAATATAATGTCATAAAAACGATAGTTGTGTGGGTGTCGCTCCATTCAGTAATGTTCCAGAAAAATCGACTGTTTGATAGGTGTGAATGAGATCCACCGTGGAGGAGGAGTTCAGGGGGAATGTGAGAAGATACATATAGATGGTTAATAAACATAATTGATACGACTTTTAAAGAGAATATACAGGGGCTCAATACTAATGCTTCTCATCCATGAGTAGCAGAGCTGGAAACTGATTAACTCCAAAATTGGATTCAACAGGTTGGATGCTAGGCTAATCTGACCGAGCAGGGTGATGCCTAAAGTCTGGATGATGCTGCTCTTTGAGAAGTCCTTTCTGATGTCACTCTTTATAAAGGGTTTACAAGATGTAATAATTGCTAAAAGGACAAGTTAGACATTTTGGGAAATGTGCTTATTTGCTTTGTTGTTGAGAGTTAGATGAGAAGACTGACACCACTCTTACATCTACACATTAAACATGTAGCTACCACCAGAAGCTAGCTAACTTAGCTTAGCACAAAGACTGATAGCCCGGAAACAGCTGTCCAAAGGTGACATAATCTGCCAGCAGCAGCTCTAAAAGTTCACTAATTAACACTATATATGTCATTTGTTTGTTATTTGTCCACACAAAAAAACTCAATACACGATAAGTGCTGGGTTATGTGTCGGACTATTTGTTGGACGAGCGCAGTGACTTCCTAGAGCCTTTTCCTTTTTGTACAGATAAGGCAAGGGAGGAGATTTGTATTAGTTAACACTGAGCCAGGTTAGCGGTTTCCCCCTGCTTCCAGTCTTTATGCAAAGCCAAGCTAACATTCTCCGATCTGTAGCTTCACATTCAATTCATTTCCGCTTGTTTCCAGTGTTTGCACCAAGCTAAATTAGCTGGCTGCTGGTGGCAGCTTCATATTTACAGTACAGACACAAGAGTGGTATCAATCTTCTCACATAACTCTTGGCAAGGAAGCAAATAAGTGTATTTCTCATAATGTCAAGCTTTTTCTTCACTGGTTCATAATTAATTTACTAATGCTTCATAAATCAGTTAGATATCAGTGCAGATTCCCTGCAGGGATTTCCAGAAGTAAATGGTCCATTAGAGGGAACTGTAACTGAATTAAACAGATCAAAAGAAAAGTTTCCTGCTGGAGGATTTTTTTCACAACTTGGCAACCCAAAAGTCATTCTTGCTTATAACTGATTTATAAAGCATTAGTAAATTATCCATTACCTATTATCAATGACATTAGCTACAACTGTCAAACCCTCTATAAAAAAGGTGGCTAATTAGATTGTGTTCAAAATCTATGTGCATATAGAGATAGGAATTAATGTGATCTCATGAACAGAACAGCGTGTCTCATCTCTCCCCTACTCTCCCGACCTGTCCCTCAATATTCCACACTCGTTCTCACCCGATTCCCAGCTGAGCCTGCAGCCTACAGCTCCCATGTTAAAACACCATCTAATGGATTGGCTCTCTGGTTCGTCCCCCCTGAGACCTGGATCGAGGCTGGTACACTGCCTCCGAGCCAACATGCCTGCCTCTCTCTCTCTCTTGTATGAGATTATTGATTATAAGAAAGTGAAGCAAGGGGGAGGAAAGACGGAGGGAGAGGGAAGGAAATGCGAAATGAAAAGACCGAGAAAGAGCGAAAATGAGAGAACGGGGGCATGGCAATCAAATGAAAAGAAAAGGTGACAGAATGCCACAGTGAGAGGGAAAGACAAGGAAAGCAAAAGAGGATTGGATTGCACCTACAGAGACAAAAAAAAGTGAGGAGAGAAACATCCTGAGGGGAAACTAAGAGGGAATAAATGTGCGTTTAGGAGACTGGGAGCATTTCTCACTGTAGTATTCAATTCTTCTACGCTTCATGTTGCTGATGGAATAAATGCCAGCAGTGCATTTGCTTGCTTTCATTCAGCGATCTTAAAACTGCAACTCTAAAAACCAAAGCTCACTATGAATTATTGCTGGAGGTGCAGAGCAGATGATGACCATGAGACAGCCTCGCAGCTAGATGGGGCTGCTCGTAATAATTTAGAAGAGACGGATGTAATAATACCTGTCACATCATGTGGCATGAAAACATGACCCTGACATATACCTTGAAATCAAAGCTAGCTAACTTCCTTCACTTTCTCTTCATACTGTATGTTCATGTCACTTTTCTATGCTAAAGGCAAATACACTGTGTATAACCCATGATTTCAAACTTCTTGCTTGTTATGATCTCAAAGACTTGACAGGGGCTTTAATCCTTCCAGAGTAAATTTTTTGACAAAATGGAAATTGTTCTAAAACCAAAGCACCTGAACAAATTACAAACAATGTATTTGGAAAAATCAGTTAAAAGCTCAGATTTATGTTTGCCTGAGATAGATTACCTATCTCTGGCAAGATTCACGTCTCTGCAATTGCCTTGAGTGTGAGAAATCAATAAAAACATCATGGTATACTATATACACAAAAATAATCTAAAGTATATATTTTTTGTAGTTAGAGGTCTAAATATGACACACCATCACCAAATCAATATGACTGTAATGTTTTGCATTGCATTGCACCGTTCAGTCAGATGCCACTTAATGATACTGCAGGGCAGTTGGCTGTGATGGAGCATAACGGCAAAAAAAAATCCACTTCCTGTGATTCTACAGCCAGCTACATGGGACTTTTATGAAAGTGCGGAAAATACAAGCCTTGTGTTCTGTGCCTCCACAGAGCCCCTCAATTACACCTATTACATTTATTCCCCTGAGGTCATGAAATGGCTCGATGAAAAAATACCAGGGAAAAATAAATACAATTTTTAGGGTAGCTGTTGACATAGATAGACAGGTAGTTTACAGTCACATAACTGGGGGAACAGGACTTTATTTGTTTATCCAAACCAGATGCCCACAGACAGGGCAAGAATTGTTTTTTATTTGATTCATTTTTTTTTATGTTTTGCTATATTCCACTTATACAAGATCATTCACTTACTCGGCTTAGCTTTGTAAGTCTAAAGTAGCAGTCGTTCATCTCCAGTGGACAGCAAACGAACATTAGCACTGTAGCATTATTATCGCCCTAGGACACAAAGCATGTCTGCTGTTGTATCGTTGCGAATTATGTTCAATTCTGTAAAATATAAAGAAAGCAGTTGGAAAAAGGAAAGTCTTCCATTTGCGGGTTTTTAATAGCACTGTAGGCCATTACAGACAAATGGAGACATTTGGATTGAAATGTATCAAATATAACATACTCCTCCTTAAAGCCTCAAGTCACACATTTCCCATCTCCAACCGTTTCTTCCAATTACCCCCACCTATTTCCATTTGTTTATGACACAAATGGCACCACTCTAGGAAGTCATGTGACCGTGTGTCTATGTCATAAGATATGTGGGCGGACTGGTTGGGCTGGACACTGAAGAGCAAACACTGATAAGAGCTCTGGGCCGGAGTAGGTCGGCTTGGGTCAAAGCATCAGTGTGGTTGTCTGCAGCTCTGCTCAGTGGCAGACTGGGACACAAAAGTGTGTGAGTGTATCTTGAAATTTGTTTTTTTTACAGACATACACACTCACACAAATACATATTGTATATACACAGTTCTCTCTTCCAGCTGGTGGCCAACTGCTAAATAGACAGCTGAAGCCATGCTTGACTGCACACTGCCTATTACGGACACTGAAGCTATAAATGTAAATTTCCAGGTAACAGCCGGAGTTTATCAGCAGACAGTTACGTGAGCATGATTTTTGGTGCTGTTGTATTTTTATTGTCGCTATTATTTCCTTGTATTAGACAGTGACAGTCCAGGTCAGTATTGGCTACAACCACAGCAAACACCTGCCTAAACAAGTCTCAGATATCAATGAAAAGCCGATTTCCTGAAAACAGGCATGTGTACACAAGATTACCGACACAGACCTTCAGGATACACATATGCTGTGCAGCTCAGTGATAGATTTGTCGATTTAAACAGCCATTTTGTGGCACGATAACTGTATCAACTCGGAACGAAAAGTTAGATAGTTGGGGAAACTACAAGGAGTTATGCACTGGACTAATTAGCTAATGTTAGGTATAACCAGCGTCATTGAGAAGGGCTAAGATTAACCCTCTCTCAACATAGTTCTGGGTATAACTTAGTCACAGACTGTCGTTTCAACATGTGTACGTCTAAAACTGAGGGTGTGGAACTGCTGGGTCTAGGACTGCAGGGGCTCTCTGGCTCTGCAGGGGGATGTTTCTCAGCTTTCTCGAGAACCGCCCATCCTAACTACTTCACATTCAACACTGTGCTTCCTTGGCTCCTCAGCAATATAACCACAAACTGTGAAGTTGATCGAATGAACAGTCAGCAAAAAAATCGAAAGACAGACAGACAGACAGAGACAGACAGAGACAGACAGACAGACAGACAGACAGACAGACAGACAAAGACTCCTTCGTTTTACTTTGATAATCCCCATGATGCAGAAGGCAGGACACAGCTATTATTGTTTGCCAGCAAAGACAAGTTATCGCATTGTTGTTGTTAATTACCGTTATGCTAATCACTGCTATCAATGCAAAAAAGCAGGGTGGACAGGGGTAATCAATGTTTATTTAATTTCTAAATTAACTACTGGCCGTTCAGGGAATGTGCTATTACAGTAGAGGATAAATACACTCATTGCAATGGCCAGATTACTGTTATGTGGCTGAAATGAGGCTAATGGGAGGTAATAGAAAAGGACAGCAATCATTCTCACAGAATGAAATCAGCGAAAGTTTGCAGATATAAAAAAAAATAAATGCAAACATACATGCCTAAATGTGCGCGCAGAAACACACCTAATCAAGTTTTGGTACTCACGTGTTTTGACAGGTTGGCACTCTTCGAGTCAACATCATACCTATAGAAAAAAGGAAAATAGAGCGAGAGTCAATGCATTAGGAAGCGATGGAGGGTGACAGGAGCTCAGCTGGGAACACGACAGGGATTACAGACAGAGTAAATCAGTAATGGGGCCAAGCAGCTTGTCACCAACGATCTCACCAGAGGCTCGGGGTATTCCACTTCCCAGCATCACAGGCTCACAGGCATCCTCCATTAAACTGACACTAAATGGACTAATTGGCAGTCATACACATGATTGTGAGAGTAAACGTGTTTGTGCATGTGAGAAAAAGACAAGGACAAAGCGAGAAACACGGCGCTAGTGAGTAAATAAGCGATTGTACTCCTTTGTGTATCCATCTCTGCTCATTAGTGTGAGTTACAGTGAGCTATTATGTTATTTTTTTAAAATACAGTATGTGTGGATATTAGTCGAACTTTGTATTGCTCCATTCCACCTGCTCATAAATACAAGACCTGCAGAGATATAAATTTGTCCAGAAATGGCCCCTCCCGTGCAGAGGCTACTCTAAAGAATGGGAAGCAATCAGACAAGCCATTCACTCAGAAATTTGAGGTCATTTCACAGCTCAGGTCATTTCACCCACCACTAAAAATGGATTGCCCTTTGCTGGGTAATTGTTTGGGGGAGAAATGAGGAACAATTGAGTTACTTTACAGGACAGTTAAGGATAATATTTTTGTTGTGTGTGTGTGTGTGTGTGTGTGTGTGTGTGTGTGTGTGTGTGTGTGTGTGTGTGTACGCTCATTGCGTAATTAGGATTCTAAATTAATCTGAATACGAAGCATGACAATCACATTATATCTTATAATCAGTGTTTATGACTTTTTTAGCATTCAGAGTGTCTCTATTGTCTAAGTCACTGGTTCACAACCTGGTGGTCCTAACCCCCACTAGGGGTCGCCAAAGCTCCATGGGGGTCGCAAAGCCTTCTTAATTATAAGGCGTGTAAGAAAACTTAATATAAACATACAGGAGGCCTATATCTGATCATACGACAACATATCTATGAATATTATATTCCATTTCTGCCAATAGAAATGATAAATGATACAGACCGGACCTTTAAGGAAAAAGGTTTGGAAGCACTGGTCTGATGAGACAAACCATAAAAAATTAACTAATGAACTAATTATTAGAAGACCTTCGAACCCCATCATCCACTGGACCTACTTGTGACGGAAGGGTCGAAAACAAGGCTAGCAGCTTTGTGAGGATGTACAGAAGCACAGCTAAATGCTCAGATTAGCACGCTAACTTGCTCACTCACGGCGATGATGTTAGCATGTTACCATGTTATTTTAGCTTGGGATGGGAAAGTGATGGAAATTAGTTTTGCAAGTATGTGGTCATGAAGTAAAGTATTACCTTAGTACAAAATTAAATTTTGACCTCATGGCCATGGATGATTAAAATTTTGGTGCCCATCAATCAAGTTGTTGCTCGGATAAATTCAACAGTGTAAAGCTTTGACCTAGGGCTGATACTAGAGGGAAAGTCAAGGGATCGCCAACGTCTGTAGAATTGACCCTTTAGGGGACTTTAATATCAAATTTAATATTGAAATTAAATACAAATTTCATGGCAATCCATCAAACACTTCTGGGAAAAGGAGAGGAGAAGGAGAAGTCAGATGATCACATAAGTAGGTAGGATTCATTCTCTGAAGACTATGAATGCCTCTACAAGGCAATCCATCAAACAGTTGTTGAGACATTTCAGTCTGGACCCAGTTCTTAGTGTCAACTTCTTCATGGTTTTCTCTCTTTTTTTTTCCTTTTCAGAATTATTAGTGATAGCAGTAGTAGCAGTAATAGTACTACAAGTCGTAGATTTATATTGATTATGTCATACTATTTTGAAATCCATACACACACACTATTAAGAGATACAGACTTACAGTGCGATCTATTAGACACAGTGCAGTCTCGTAATCCATATACAGGGGACATAGTAGTATTTCATAACCTCTGTTTTTTTCCACACAGATCCCATCTTCACAGGCCTGAGGGAGGAAACATTCTTTCATCTGCTATCATCTACAACTGTGTTACCCTCTGCAGGCCGGCAGCAGCAGCTATCTGCGGCTGTTAGGCTGGAGAGGAGCTAGAGCAAGCTAGGTCCACGCACACACATGCAAGCACGTTCACCTACAAAAGCACATGCGTGTTTCTCCAACAGTGATGCACACACTGAATGATACTAGCAGCAACACACATATACAAAAACACACAAAAAGACCAACAAAAAGCCAGTGCGCTTTTGTTCCTCAGATGCTCAGTTCCATTCAGGAAACCACTCAAGAGACAGTCAGCACAGAGACATGCACTCATACATTTATATAGCTACCCAGACAAATGAGAAGGAAACAACAAAACACACAACTAAACGTCCTGCATGGTCCCGTATATTTCAGGAAAAAAAGTAACAGGTTTATACCAGTCCATTTATGTGTGATAATGTATACTGGGTCGTAACATGGCGCGGTACACAAGTGGAGCAGGCAGAGTAGATAAGAAAGGTTAAATGTTTCTCTTTCCCTGAAGGAAATCTGTCCACTCCTATATCACACCCACCATCCCCTGGAACCCCGGTTGTTATGGTTACCAACGTTAAAACGCACACATAGCCACAAACACGTGCGCACACAATATTGTCACCATGGCCACACACAGTATGTGGGAATGCACACACATGGGTTTTGCTTTTTGTCTTGGAGTGTCCATGCGGCCCTGTAAAACTTCTCTTGTGAGACGGTAATATGAGTTTGTGCTGTGACAGAGCAACCGGCTGAGATACTGAGACATTAGCACACGAATGGACAAACAGGGATGCTACCTGTACCAAAAGACACAATCATCCACTGACTAACGTAAAAATGTGACAGTGAGAAGGGAACACGAGAGCCACATGAAGGGTAACAAAGGTGGATTGCTACATCTGTCATTAAAGTGAGCAGCAAGGAAGTTTGTGCGTGTACTAATTCTTTTATACTCCCTAGAAACAGGGATTATGATGCATTTAGTGTAGATATACACTACAGCGGCACTTCATATAAAATAACTTTGCAATGCTAATACAGTTGTGAAAAATAGGGATACAGAAACCCCTATGCACAAATATAGACATACCTCCACCCACGCGCAGACACACACAAACTATACTGTCTCTGCCTTGCTCTTTCTCTCTCCTTCTCCATCTCTCACAGGCACACACACACACACACAGGCACACAGGCACACACACACACACACACGTTATATGCAGACACACTAACTTCACAGAGTCTAACTTTCAGATCCCAGATGGGTTGTCGTCGTGACTCCCTGGTTCATACATTATAATATAATTAGTCTCCATCTAATAAAATAAAGCTACTAAAATCCCCTCTGTAATTCAATGAGAAATGCAATCTGAGAGCAAATTGAGAAAGAAAATCCCCTCACCTACTGGCTTAATAAATCTAAAGACCAACTGCCTCCTACAGATAGCATCTATGCAAAGGAATCAAGTGTGAGATGCAGTCAGAGTTTATAACATACTGTTATATAGTACAGCCCTAGTAAAAGCCTGACCGATTTATCGGTTACTTTATCCAGCAGTAGGGCTGGGCGATGAATCGATTTTATCGATTAATTCAAATTTGTAGTTAAACACGATTTATTTTTAGTTTAAATCGTTTTTCTCTTGAACTACCACAACACCGGCGCTCCCTTTGGGCTCCCGTAGGTCAGAGTGCGCTGACCCCTCCCCCCCGCCTCTCCACAGATACACACAACATGGCAGCAAGCCAGGATGAGCTCCTCCCCAAAAAAGGCACAGTGTCGTCAGTTGTTTGGAACTGGTTTGGTTTTTTGGCGTCCGACAGCGAACAAACCACGACCTACAGCAAAGTTTGTTTGAAAGCTGTTGCAACCAAAGGTAGCAGTACGACCGATTTATTCCAGCACCTCAAGCAGAGGCATGCAGCCAAGAGGGAGAAATGTTGCTCTCTGCGAGATATACAGGACCGCAGCCCACAAACACCCGCTAAAAAACAGTCTACAAAAAAATCGATTAAAATCGTAAATCGGGTTTGGTGTGAAAAAATCTGAGATTTTATTTTTAAGCCATATCGCCCAGCCCTATCCAGCAGAATGCACTAATCAAAGCTAATTACACTTGAAAGTACGCAAAAGGATGCACTGATATCAATGTGCTTTTTAAGGCCTTAGTACAAACAGAGGCACAGCAGGTGAAGCTTTTTAAAAACATATGCATATTGTCCTTCCAGCTCACTACTGATGTTTTTTTTTTTTGAAACTCAACACAATTTACAAGTTAGGTAATTGAGTGTTTTATTACTTTCATTTTGTGGCTGATATGGAGGACATACTTCTTCCTCAATCAGACGAATGTCAATCATAAAAATATTAATGGACAAATACCTGTATACCAATACAGTGCTTTTAAAGTTGCTATCAAATGCTTCTAGACAAGTGAAGCTGTCCCAGTTATAGCACTTATGTGCAATAAATCACTGTCTGGTAGTGTCAAGGTAAGTCCCTGTATAACTTTTGGAAAAAAGACTCAGTGATATTGGCATACATATGCAGTAGAAATCTACATTAGAATACTAAATAATGCAGTTCGTAAAACATTTTTCCCTAACACATTTTTTTTTATAATTGAGTTCATTTTTTAAAATCAAATTAAGCCCATGTTCCTGTAATTGTTTTATAATAACCCAATATTAGGTGGCATGATTGACTATTAATCAAGTGGCACATGCATTGTGCAATCTACTTAACCTTCTCTCAATTTACTTTAATTGAGAGAAAATTAAAGCAGAGTGCCAACTGTACAATAAAGATACAGAAATCCAAGATAAAAACAGCCATACTTGTGGTTCTAAAATAAAATAATGTAAGTAGATAATAATAATAATTTGCAGGTGACAGAAGCCTAGTTTGTATTTTATGAACTAATAATGTGAAAGAGAGATTCTAGAGAGGCTTCTATCATTGAGTAAACCAAAGATCAACTTTAGAACCTCAAATGCATTTGACTTTTACAGTGCATGGTGCCAGGACAAGTATTAAACTCAGCAAATATCAATATTAATACCAAAATGATACAAACACACACACACAAAAGGTGTAGGCATTACTTACAAATCAAATCGGAGGTTCTGCCGTTCTTCAAAGAAGTAGTCCAAAATGAATTTCCGCACAAAGTCTGGGTTTAGTGTGTTGTCAATCACCTCTGTTCTCCCAAACTATAAAGAAAGAAAATAAAAAGATAAGAATACCTTTTGGATAAACTGAACCAGTTTTTCCTCTCAATATATTTCTGATTTTTTAAATGTTAGACCACCAAAAGTGTCCAATAATAATAATAATAAAGTTGATGGCCAAACTGGTATCTGTGGGGTTTTTATTTTATTTCGCAGCTCACCAAACATTAAAACTTTGACCTGACTCAAATCACAGTTTTTACAAGCCCTTTGTGAAGTCGCTTGACTCATCAGAATAACTACTGACCAGTAGATTTTTATTCCTCAGGAGACACATCAGGGGAGACGCTGGTTACAGAAGATTATGTACAGCTTTAGAGTAATGAATGCAGAGCAGCTAAAGTATTAAGTCAATGGGGGTCAAGTAGGCCCCCGGTTTGGCATTTAACTTAGCCTATTAATAATGCATGCAGATGATGGGCTACTCAGAACTATGAATAACTGTGAATGATTAGGGCTGCAAGATTTGCCCCCTCATTTGCATTCATGAATATTCATTATTGTGAAACACACAGGTGATTGCAGCACAGTCATACGTGAGTGCACACATGCTCATAAACAAGTTGGAAGTACTGGTTGTGTCTACAAGCACAAACAGACTGGGGCTTTCTTATCAAAATTAATGAATAATTAGTTTGGATTAATTAATGAAATTGTCTAGAACTTCATCTATCCCCAATTGGCAAGTGTTAGCCAGCTAACACACTAAGATGATGGACTATATTAGCATTAGACTTGTTTAACATCAGCATTATAGCATTGCCGCTGTCTGCAAGCTAGCACGATGCTGAAGTTGCGTTAGACTTTCTCGTTGTCCGTCATTTTGAAAGACAGGGTTGTAAGATTTGCGTCATAATCCATTATTACCTGTCATTTTAATTCTCTTTTTTTAATGATAATGAGACATATAGCCTAACTAACTGGTAAAAGACTACTAGACGATAGCTAATTAATATGCACACTCGCCACCAAATGGACAGTGGTCTACTACAGGGGGTCTACATGTGGTTATTGACAGTGTTGCATGTGTCGAGGTGTAGATCGCCCTCGGTGTTAATCCGTCAAAATGACGAGTGGCCTTCAGATTTTTTCCGTCATTATTAAAACATTTCAATCAGTGATGGAAAATAATCGGTTAAGGTAACCCCTGCCATGGTGATACTAGCATTTAGCTCAAAGCGCCACTGTGCAGCCTCACAGAGCTGCTAGAAGTAGACTCTTGTTTTACCATATTTAGCCACACATGAAACATACTGAGTGTTCGGAAAGACTGCGGAGATGTTGATCATGCTACAGGAGCAGATTGAGCAGTGGATGTTTTGATACACTGTTTGTATTTGTCACCATTGTAATCTGTTGTATCTCTATTTCATAGTGAAAGGACATATTTTGGTGACTCAACATAAAGTGGCCTCTCCATATTCTGTGATACACTCTCACCTCTCTCCACTCCTTGTTGCCCATGCCTTGTGTGTAGAGAACACAAACTGTGAAGAACAGAGAAACAACACAATTAAAGCTCAGTAGTATGTTAACACCTATGCTAATGTCCATTACAGTTGCCCAAACGTCTTTCAACAACAATTATTAATATACTGGATCTAACTACATACACATCGTACAATTAGAGTCTTCTTCAAAATCATGTTTTTGAACTGGTGAGTGTAGGCCAACGAAGGGAATAGATGAGCATCATTTTCATAAAGAACCAAACAAATAAACAAAAAACAAACTCAAATGTCATGGTATTTATTTGATCCATCAGAATATGACTAATAAGCCATACATGCATGAATTAGAAAAAAAAAAAAAACTACATCAAAGCACCTGATAGTTTTATTCATGAGGCCAAACCATATATATTACATTCCCATCTTCAGATGGTGAAAGACATCATTTCAGGCCATTATGCAATTTCCCGAAACAAGGCAATTCACTAAAAGGCAAATTACTGAGCTCGTTCATTATACACTTCATTTCTGGAGGCCTTTGATGTTCTTTTCACATAACTGACAGAAGAATATATAGGGATATAATGTGCATGTTCACACCCCCACACAGACACACAAGTTATTTCATTGTGGTCTGATAGAAACAGACAGGTGATATTTGGGGAACAGATAGATTTAAACCAATAATAGAACAGAAAACTTCACAGTCTTGGGGCTTATGTATTCAAGGGCTTTATGTCTTTTTTGCACTTGTATCAGAGAGCCTTGGTTTTCCTTTATTGGATCACCGCTCTTACATTTTAAATATATTTTTACCCACAAGTGACAGATCCGAGATATCTCTATATTTCCAGTAACACAGACATATTCTCTTTTTCCTCTTTCCTTTACCTCCTTGCTCTTTTACCCTGTCAGGCTGGTTCATATCAGGAGACCGGAGTCGCCGTGCTCAGCATAATCACAAGTGCTACTCAGCACAAGAGGATGCCCAAATGTATGGGTAAAGCCTGGGTTCCTTCCTCCTCCTCCTCCTCCTCTTCATCATCATGTTAATCACTGTCAACCTCGTCATCGTGTTCATCACTGCCATCATCATCTTGAGTCATTTTTATCCCATGCTATTGTAAATGTGCTGACATACTATGTTCTGCAAAGACAGTGCTGTGTGTGTGTGTGTGTGTGTGTGTGTGTATTAGTGAGTCATTGTACAGCACCAAAGGTCATCCTGATATCATTATCCCAAATTCACACACACCTCAAAATGACAAATGTCTTCTTTCATAACAATTTCAGTTCCTTTTATAATGGCATGAATCTTACCCCTGATCATCTCATCTTACCCACACTCCCCTAACACACATCCACCCACATACACATGGGTATAATGACATACCCATGATACCACTTTCATACCTCTCAATGTGCTTGTTGGAAAGTATTACTCTAGCTGTCCGTGTAGAGGCTGATTCTTCATACAGTGCCTTCGGTTCAGTCTCGAGTTAAGTCGAGTTTTCAGGTCTCAAATAAGAAAAATCTTTAACTTACTGCCCTGGCGCTAACAGTATTATAATAATTATTTTAACTGAGAGGAGAGAAGACCTGCTGCCCGTTCTGTGAATCTATAGGGGGAAGCTTCTTAGTTGGCTACATGCATTAGTCAGACCTGCCTCGAGCCGAGCTCACACATTTAGTGGGAAAAAAATACACTTGCACACATAAGGAGTGACTCACGACTACATACGGCAAAAGACAAGACCTTCCTGCAGTTCATAATTGATTTCTCACTCCCTTACACTCCATTTGTTTCACCTTATATTCTACATTTTTCTCATTTGTTCTTAACTTTTTTATACCTTTCATCACCCATTACTTTCACTCTTTTGAGCTGTCCTGCTTCCTTCTATCTTGTCCTCCTCAGAAATGTTAAAGAGCCAAGATCTCTCTAGTAACCATCATGCGGTGACATAAACACAAACCTGGTCACAATGGGTGATAGACAAAGAGAGAGGTGGTGGATCTTACTTGGGTCTGATTTGGAGAAGGTGTCCCTGTCCAGCAGGTTTCTGTGGAGACACAAAGGGGAAAGTCAGAAACACAGTTCGCTTGGCGAGAAGAAAAAAAAACATTCGTCATCCAAAATGTGGCAGTGAATGCATTTTACCACGCAGACTATTTATGTACTCTGTTGGCCATGATTCGGCACGTTACCATCACGCTCCGTTTACACTATCCCTGTGAAACTCTTACCTGAGCTGTGAAAATACAAAAACTAAAATCTTAAATACTGGATTTACCACAACATTGTCCACGATGCTGAGGCGTGCGCACTACTGGTGTCGGACAAGTGGACAAACAACATCTGTTATGAGGCAAATGTGTATTAATCCACCATCTGAAAATAGTCCCCACTATTTACCACTTTAAAAAAAGAGAGTATTTATTCAAGGAGACATATTTATGGGTCTACGTCTTTAGTAGCAATGAATGGGCTAGAGGCTTAAACAGACGTAGGGATGTCAGAAAGGGAGACAGACTAATATATTGTTGGTTTTTGTCTTTTCATTGGATTCGTTGACAAGAAAAAGCTAGAATTTCATCGGAATAAAGTAGGAACAGACGGTCTATATTGAAAGAACATGAGCTTCTATCCACAGCATCTTATTGCATCTTAATTCCCACAGTGAGCAGAAAGACAAACTGAGCTACAACATGGCCTACACGTCTTAAAAACATTTCAATGTTTAATGTTTAAGTCCTCCCTTGTCGCATACAAACAGTCGGAGGGTGAGAGGTTTTATGGCTCCTCTTTCCATGCTTGAAAAACACCAGGTCTAAGATCATGTTGTATGCAACTAGTGATATATTGTGCAGTCTTCTGTCTCAGCAAACCACTGAGTTTCAGCCAAGATGGACATTAATAAAATCTTGAAGAATTTATGTTCCCCAAAAAAGAGGAGGGCTCGGGAAAATTAAATGAGACTGTGTCATTAATTCTGATTTGTGAATGAGTTTAAAATCCCTCCAGCATGTAGCATGTTCTTCGATAAGAATTAAAATATACTCTCCGGTGTACTTTCTTTCATCTATTTAACGCGTCCTGACGTTTCCTGGTTGCAGAAAAGGCATCAAAATGTGGGTAATGTTTCCCGTCATCCTTTTTAGACCCGGGGATTGTGAGAGACTTCTAAAGGCTTTCAGGCAAAGCTCTGAAACCATCACTGTCTGGAGAGTATCCAGGTTGCAAGCTGGTTTTCAGTAACAGCCTCTTAAACTGAAGCTGTTTTTTCTTCTTCTTTAATTTCAGCTCACTTTCAGCTGTCTCTATCTCTCTGATCCTGTCTGTACTTTGCTCTCTTTTTCTTGTGTGAACTCGTCAACACAACCTATGGCATTTTCTCTCCGTCTGACGCACTTGTGTTTGTTCTCAAAATAAAGAAACACCTCTGGTATCCAATTGGTCCTTCCTGCTTGTTCGCAGACTTACTTCGGTCAATCGCACCACCATGTTAAGGCACTCTGCACGATGGTTTGCCGTCACTTTGTATTATCAGGCTCAGGTTACATGTACCGAGTGTTTGAGTTTCCTCCCATAATCCGAAGACACAATTGTTAGGTGGACTGTAAACTCTGCCTCGTTTGCCTATAGTGTTGTCTGTCTTTAGCAACAAAAACACTGATGGACGGAGGAAGCTAATGTGTTTACACGGTGTGCAAAAACTTTTCCAATCATACTCCTGTTTACATGCTTTAAAGGCTAACTAATGACTGACTAATGAAGATGCGACCTGATTTCTCTCAAGTGTGCATCTGATTAGTGATTGGACTGCTTTCAAACAGTTGACTAGTCATCAATATTGGTGGCTAGAATGATTAAGACTGATCAACCTAAAAAGAAACACTCTTGATCACCTGATGGGTGACATGCAGTTTTCAAGGAATAAAAGAAAACATTTTCAGATAGGATGAAGACTTAGGAGTGAACATAACTTAATCAACAGAACAGATTTTTGTCTAATCTAGTCACTCGCATAAATCAGCACATAACAAAGCAACAATATTCAAACAACCAAAGTTCTATGTTAGATATGATGAAACAACTAGCTCTGTGGTTATCCAAATATAAACCTCCCTCCACATAGTGTGTCATTTTTCATAACGGCACGCAGAGAAGATATATTATATATTACAAAAATATATAGCTTCTGTGCCATGGATTTTTGAAAACACATAAATGTGCCACACTGTTGTACTAGGTGCCATAACTACTGTGGACATGCTGTGCACTGTCCTGCTATCATAAATAGTCACTATCAATCCATGTCTGAAAATGGTCTCCAACAAAGGCTACACAATTTAGTCAATTAGATTGGTCGGCCAATTAAGTATCAAACATTTTGAGATAATCAGCATCGGTTGATGTCTGTGCTCATGAGGCACATAAACAAATAAAGCCTTCAGGTGCATCTGCAGGCAGCCTTATCAATATGGCTGCTGTGCTGTGGAAAGATGTTAGCAGTTCTCTCTGTGAGTTATAGGGAGGTGGTGAAAAAGCTGGTTTCGAGCCCTGAACATGACTTTCCCTTATTTTGATATCGGCATTATATGGCCACCGGCAGCCCTGCTCAATAAATACTGGCATCACTGTCCACTACTATGAAATGTCCAAAAACACAGACAAACGTCCATCCCACTTGCTCAGAGTCCAAAGTGATGTGTTCTTGTTTCGTCTGACCAACAGTCCAAAATGTAAAGATATTCAGTTTCAAATGATTCAAAAGAGAGAAAAGCTGAAGATTTGTCAATCATACAATAACTATATCTACTAATCGCTTATTGCAATAGCTGTTGATTAAATTTCTGTTGAATTGCCTGATCATTTTAGCTCTGCTCCTGTTTGAGAAAAAACTAGTGTGTTACTGTTTAAGGAAATGATTGAGCCTTTCTTAAAAATGAAGATATTCATTTGTGACCAGTTTTTAAAGATTTACGCTTGACAAAGGAGGGAAGACAGAGAGTAATTAGAGACAGGCTAACACATGTAGGCTTTTGTCTTGGAGATTGTTGAAAATAACAAGAATATGCAGTATCACCGGTCTATGCATATTAATGTGCTCTGATACAGTAATGAGGCAAATTAAGGATATACTCTGGTCAATCCAAATGGAGTATTGTCCATTCACACTGTTTAACAATATTAAATGACTCACTTTGTGAACAGTATTATGATCTATGCATTTTTATATGAGCTTCTCCAGTGTTGAGCCATCCCTTTAACTAGTGTAAGAATCTTTTCGGTCCATCTGTTGTCAGTACGGAGGGGGTGGAGGTGAACGAAATTAACAAACCACTTTCACCATACAACACCATCTATGAATAAATCTGGACATCAAAAAATGAACGCACAGCTAAACGCCAGAAAATACACTGCACACTGCAAAATAATGTGACACCATTTGGGAGTAATTTCCCACTCTGAGTCGGGGGTACAGTTGGGGACACAGGTTAAAATACACTTTCTCCCTTTGAGAAAGAATTTGAGGCTCCACACTCTATGGCTGCCTGCTGCTCAAAGCACATCACACATGGTGGCACTCCAAATGGGCTCCTGGGCTCCCCCTGTGCGTGTGTGTTTTGTATGTGTGTGTGTGTGTGTGTGTGTGTGTGTGTTTTGTGTGTGTGTTTTGTGTGTGTGTGTGTGTGTGTGTGTGAGTAAGAAAGACACGTTTTCAGGATTTCCACTTCAGAGGGTAATGTGAATGAGTCATGGCTCGCTCTTTTTCTCTCGCTCCTTCCCTCTTTTCATCCAGAGGCAGGCAGCGGAAAGCTAAAAGCTGCCATCCGAGTCACCAAGAGGTCTGCAGAAATAAAGGTACCAGACTAAAATAGTGTTAGTATTTTTAGCAGAGAGTTTCCTAAAAATGTTATAATCTCACACTAGTGATGTATAATTTGGACTGGGTACCTTTTTGGTCATATGACAGAACAATAGATGTCTTAATAGAAAAATAATATGTCCATAAACTAAGGGGCTATGAAGACAAGCAATGGAATCGTACAGCTAATGGCAAAGTGACGTACTCATTCGTCTCTAAAAATATTGATTGTTTCAATAGATTTCCCTGAGGCTTTCAGTTTTGGTATGTTAAGATGCTGCCTCTTTCTGTCTCTCATCCTTCCTCACAAAAACACCGCCTTTGGCATTTCTGCTGGCTCTCGCTCTCTCTGGTGCGCGTCTGGTGCGTGCATGTTCATTCACACAAAAAACACTTCTCGGTGCCTCTCCTCTCTCTAATCCACTTTCCGCTTAATCACTTAATTGTTTTTTTTCCCCGTGCTCTCTCTTCCAATATCTTACCATGTCTAACTGAAGCCCACTCCAAACCAATCTAACTTATGCAAAACCCCTAAGTAAGTTGATTATCCATATGAGAAATCCATTCATTTACACATACTGGGTTGTACGTGTTAAGTGATGTGATGATAAAAATAAAGATTGAAAAATGCCGCATTCAAGGGAACATTGAACGACACACGTGCATTATATGATGAATTGCCGCTGTAAAATACCATTTCTCTGCCAAAGGACAACATAACATGGCAGCACCCTTTTTAAGCATTCACCTATACAGCTCTTAAGGCAATTAGTGAGAAAGAACAGAGACCACGCATGACGCAAAGCAACCCCATTAGATGATTACGATGTTGGAGACAAACACCTACCTTTTACCTAAAAGCAGTTAACACATTCAGTGTTCACATGAGTTTGTGGTGGAATGATTCTCCAATGGTTGGGTTTAGAAAAATACATAGGTTTAGGTAACTGCAAGTTCAGTTAAACTGAAATGTAACATTTTTAAATCTACACATTTTCTCCTTGATAGTTTTGTAAGAATAGCATTTCTTTAAATTTATTAAGAATTCCTCTACATTTTCTAGGGATCTTGGTGGGGTCTATCTCCAGGAAATGCTGATTTATTAAACTAAACTAGGAATGAATACATGCATACAAATGATCCACATTAGGCAGGGCACTGGCTAACAGCTAACAAGGTGTAGAAAAAAA